ATTAAACATTCTGTTGATTATCAATTCATAGTAATTATTAATAATGATAATTATGAATTAAGATTATAATTGAATTTTCGTGTAGAGTGTCTTCGGTTGAAGAAGTCTGAATTATTATTTTGAATTATCTATTCTAATCTCTTGTCATAACTTTTCATGTCACTAAATAGTTTGTGATAACAGTTCTCATGTTTTTATCTAACGCCGACGAAGTAAAATAATCAATTTAGAACAAGAATTTCGAAGCTACGATAACAATAACACGAAATAATATTAACATTTGTAAATTTGTTCTCTCGATTCTTTCGTTATCTTGAGTTATCTAATATGTTTAATGCTTTGACGATATTTTAAAGCCGTCCAAAAATGGAGATATCGAAGGTGAGTCTTTTAACAACAAACATTACGAAATAATCAAATAACTTTGAAAAATCCACTAACGACTCACAATTTTTAAGTCCAAAGAGGAAGTCCAGGAGCAACCGTCGACGCCAACGGCATTGGCACCTTCGACGAAGGTAATTCCACAACTAATTACCCGTTAATAATTAACAACAAAAAATATCCCACAAGTGTAAATCACGAGGTCATCCAGACTGAACATCATAAATCCTGCATTTATCTCGAAAGCTAGTAATTTTAGGAAAAACTGTTCAGGAACTTTTTTGTAGCTCATGAAGTCTGAAAGAAAAAGTTCTTATGACATTTTTTCCTGATACCACTCCTTCCTGAGATATTTTCCCTAAAAGTTGACCAAAAGGTTGCATAAAATGTCGAAGTTAATGAGTGAATTTTTACACTTATAGATTTATCTCATAAACTATTGATTTCACGTGAAATTGTTACAGAGATTTTTTGTGGTTGATTAAATTTTCCACAAAAAAGGTCTCCCGATATTTTTACGTAAAATCAATAGTTTTCGAGATGAATCGGTGTGAAAAACGAGAAAAATTGGCGATCATCGAATTTATTGATTTATACTATTTTTTAAATTCACTGGCATTCCGTTCCAGAGGAGTGCACAATTGAAATAAAAAATTAAACAATAAACTGTGACACTCATCGCATGGTGAGTCCACTGTAATGACACATTACCTCGTTACCGTATTACGCGTCACGATCAATCATCATCCAGTCCTTGAGTCCATCCAATTCCACTTACATAATCTCACTGTTGTCTCAATTTTTTTATTCATTACACATTTTTTTCTTTCAAGCAGACGAGCGCTCACAAAGATGCTGTAAGTACTAACAACTAGTTCATTTTCCTGTTCCAATTACCCTGAACTCAGTGCCAATGATTTCCCCGAATGGCGAACAAAAAATATGAACATATTTTTATTCAAATCAGTGAAAGATAAATTAAAACTTTTGAATATCTTTCTCGGATGCCAGAATTATTATTTAAAATGATAAGCGCCTCGTTAAAAATCACTTAATTATTATCAGAGCCAATGGTAAATTGATGCTTTTGAGAAAAATATTTTTTTCCATCGTTTACTTTAATTTTGAATTTCATTGAGAGTGAAATTATTTTTTATGGGTGTGCGTGTTATCTCAAATTTTTTACTCAAATTTCCAATTAGCCTTGATAATTGGGGAGTGTCAGATTTATTATGTTATTATTCTCCTCTGTTAGTTATCTATGGAGTAGATTCATTATCATTCCTTGTTTATCGTAGGTCTATTCCAGGTAAACACATTAATAGTGGGAATAATGGGCTCGATTACTTTGACGAATCGATTTACTTGGATTTATCTGGAAAGGATAATCGTGGAGTTAAAGATCTCATAATTATTGATTCTGTGATTATTCAACTGATTAATTGATCAATTATCCATTGGATTTCGATGAATATCTTCAGTTCTGTGGATAACTCGAATTTTAGTTGTGATAAATACCCATTGATCTCAAGAATTATTGATTTTAGGAGAAAATACCAAAAGACATTTTTCGTCAGAAATTTTATTAGCTACAAAAAAGTCCTCTAGTGTTTTGGTCTCAAGTCGATAATTTTCAAGACAAATTGAAAAACGTGTTAAATTCGGAGAGGGAAATAAATTTCAATTCACAGTTTTGTTAATAACGATTAATGCAAAACTATTGATTTTACAAAAAAATGTCAAAAGTTGTTTTATATGAAGAATTTAAATAGCCACGAAAAAGTCCTTTCATGTTCCCGGCTGAAATCGATACCTTTCGAGATAAATGAAATTATTTCCGGGACTGAAATTTTTTTTCGAAAACATCTTCAGGCATGTGCTATTCATTTTCATTTTGTTGCGAAATTCGTTCGTCTTTGTTGTGTAAACACACCCACTACTTCTCACTCCGCGAAAAGTAAAAGTTGTGTCGAAAATAAACAGAAAAAAAAAGTAGAAGTTATCTAGTCCAGACGGAAGTGTCAGAGACGTGCAAAAATTAGTTAATGACGCAACATTTCCCAATTCTCAGGTATCGACTCATCGCAATTTAAGCCCCGACGAGTAATTAGTATATTTAAATAATCCTTATCCGCATCAGAAATTTGAGGATATTTATGACGTCATTCAACAATTAAAAACCGATTTTCTTCCAAATGATCCATTTACGCGGTTGAATGTAACAATAATTAAATGATTTTTAACAAAGCGCTTTTAGTCCTAATTACTACAACAATAATTAAAAAAAAATAAAAACATGTTCACATTACCCCACACTCCAGCAACCTGGAATTTTCCAGATGGTCTCGTTATTGAATACTCGCGGAAAAATTAGCAATTGTTCTATTTCAAGCGTGTTCACACATTCTAGCCTCACGACGCTCCCCCGAATCCTTTTTCTCTCTCTCCAAACAATATTTCATTTGAAATACTTGATAACCAGTCGTAGGCGTGAATTTTTTTAGCCTCGTGACGCAGGAATCCCAGATTGTCTCAATCCTTTTCACAAATACATAAAAAAAATTCACAAATATTTGCATCCACTCCCATTAATTTCTAAAAATTTATAATAATATATATTTATTTTACGCACATATATTTCATATTCATATATAAATTAGACAGATATCTGACATATACTTGAAAAATATTTGCGGCAAAAAATACAATGTGTCATTAATAATTGTTGTCTTGTATATTTTTTTTCGTTTAATAAAATTATCGGATTTTGAAATTAATTGCGCGAATAATTCTCGTGGGTCTCGTGAATATTTCTGATACATTGAATACACAGAATTTCTTCAGCAGTTTATGATAAAATTGTAGCGAAAGCGTACAAAGGTCATTCAGTGGAGCGAAATGATAAATATTATATGTACGTTAGAGTCCTCATTCGAGTTAATAATAAAATTGTATGAATAATTTTGCAGTTGATAAAATTATCAGAATTCGGGTGAATTGATAATCCTCCAGTAATTCACACGTTTTTTTTCTGTTAATACCAATTAGATAATTAAACAAATATTTATATACGAAATATTAATTATAAATAAAGATTTTTTCAAGATTTTAATTTTCTTAAGAATCGGTGAAAGCATAAGATTTCAGGAATTTTTCAAGAGAAAAATTTCAATTTCACCTTGTAAAATAATTAATAAAAATCATTCGAGAATAAATTCGAATAATTATAATAACAATTAAATAATCGAAGACCTGAATTACTCCATAATTAATCAATTCCAGCAATTAACCACCAATTACCCACATTAAGTTATCGTGTCGAAATTCGAAAAAGGGGATTTTTTGTCGCGCATGCGTTAAAAATCGCGCGCTAATCAAATGGCATTAGCTCCTGGCGCATGACACTACCGCACTGATTACTCAGCTGATCCTAATGACAGTTAACCATCCCCCCCGCGATTGTTCCCGAACAATTGTCCATAAACAAAAGGCCCCACAGAGTTATAACTTTCCCGTTACCCCCAGCAAATAAATAAATAAATAAAAAACCATCCAGAGTCGCGCAGTCTGAAGTCTAAACCCGCGAGTTCAACATTGAAAGATCATAGATTTTAAATCTCATGGTAATATTTCCATTCGCTTTCATTCATTCAGGCTATATTCGCCAGACGAAATTACCATATCTAGTGTTCATAGGTCGTCTGGGTTGAGCCCCTCAATCGTTTCAAGCTACTCAGGTTCAATAAACTTAATTGAAAAATTGGATAGTCGTGACAGTTTGGGCTGACAGCTGAGGGGGAAGGAAAGGGGGGTGGGAGTAATTGTCCAGTTTTAAAGGGGGGCAATAACGGGAGGCGGTTTTAGGGGATAGAGGGGATAGTTGTGAGTTATATCAAGTAATACCTCTCACTTGAGAGTCGAATCCCGTATTCGACACTTTGTTTCGCTCCTCGAAAGACGTCTCCGATTATATCGATTATTTCCACTCATAACTGAATTTATTCCCCGAAATTATCAGCTTCAAATCATAAATTATTTGCAGTAAAAAATCGAGTGGAGAGTTTTTAATTTTTTAAAAATATTCTAAAAATCGCGGGTTCCGCGGATTTCGTGGTTTTTTTTTAGAGTTGGACTTCATTGAATGTTTAGACAATTGGGGGAATTGTTTAATTGAATTTGAGTGACTGAAACTGGTGAAATTGATTCGGAACTTGAAAGGACTTGAAGACAACCGGAAATGGGGATCAAAGTGCCGCAGGTAATTTTGTTTTGGTATTATTTTGGTTTGGGGTATTTATAGTGTTTATTTCAATTGTGCGATTGGGCCCAAAGGTCCCATCGGAGATGTCGACAATAGAATCTTCTCTGCAAAGAGAAAAAAAATTCCATGCAAATTTAATACTTCAAGAAAATTCACACGTTTCAATTTTTAATATGTATTTTCATCAATTATTAATTCTTGTTATTATTAATTTAATTGGGAGATCGAACTGTAATGAAGATTAGTAATGAGTAATTTATAAATTGTATTATCTC